AATGCCGAAAAGCCGGGTTTCGGTGTTTTATCTCCATCTCAAGAAGTTTATGAGTGGGTTGTGCCGCCGTATTCTCTCCGCTGTGTACAAAGGAGGTGGCTCCCCTGAATAACAGCGTTCATCAAGCGTTTCTCAGCCCTGAGGGGAAACTGAGGTTGCCTGTACTGGGTTAATATGGGAGCCACATTAAAAAAAAAAAAAAAAATTGACATTTGAAGCAGTTGGACAGTTGCTAAAATGCCAGAAGGGCCTGCCCGCAGCTCCGATGACTGCAGCGTCCGGCTGCGTTGATTAACCGGTGCCGTATTTATTCTGTGAGGCTGGGTTTAATTCTTATCATCTGCTGTATCTGAAGAGCTTTTGGCATAGCTGGATTAAATTTAGCAGCCAGGCTGATGTGGAAAAGCTGAAAAAGGCTAAAATCAGATTTCTTTGGATTGTAAGAGTGACACGCTGTTTAAAAGACAAGGATTTTGCAGACTGCGTTGCCCATCCTGCTGCAGACCGTGGCAGGAGCCTCTTGACCCTTTGCTGTTTTTTATGGTGCTGCTGTTCAGCAAACTCATAAACAAAGGTCACTAAAGAAACCACGTTTGTCTGACCAAGAAATCACATCGTGCAGCAGAGAGACGGGAAGTGGCAGGAAAGGAGAAGTGGTGCTTCTCCCTCTGACCTCACAGCTCACCCTGATTTTGCTGGATTTTAATGGAGCAACTGCATGCTTTCCCCAGGATCTGTAGCTGCAATGCAGTCATGTAGTTTCCACCCAGGAGTTATTACAGGGCCCAAGTTTGTGTTCAGGTGTCAGTGTTTGGTTGTGATGGGGCATGCCAACACAGCAGCACTTCGGAAGATCCTTTTTCTTCCAGGGATTTGCAAGGTCTCAGCCACGTCCTTGATCTAACTTGCACGTTTTCACTGTGAAAGCAATAAGCTGTGTCCGTTCCTGTCATCTCAGATTTGTAGGAGATGTGACATTTTCTGAGTGTCATAAAGCAGAGGGAAAACCTCTCTCCCACTTGCAAAATGCTTCCAGGGAAATGGAAACGCCATGATTTGTAGGAGTCAGCACCTGGATAGTGGTGAAGGCTGGCCACAGGATTTGCTGATGATCCGAGTGATCCTAGCCTCAGCGGGGCTGATTTACCTCTGGGGGATTTTACCTGCAAAATCAAGAGCGACCAGTGATGAGGGATGGGTCCCATGGCAGCACCACTCTCCATGCCGTGCGGGTTCTCCCGAGGAGCTCCTCGTTGTAGGGTGCTGCAGCAGCCAAAAGTTTGCACGTGTTCAAAAAACTAGGTTGATTTGTTGTATGGAGTGCCTTTCAGTGCAAAGGCACTGCTTGCTGCTCTGAAGCCCTGCAGGGCTGGTTGTCCTGCTCGCTCTCACCCTCTTGCGTAGGAGCCTGCTATTGGAGAAAGCACAGGGGTAGATACAGCTGGCCTCGTGTTCCCTACCCTGCTGGACAACCCACAGCAAACTCTCAAGGCTAGCTGAGAAAGAAGGGGGCCACCCACTACCTGACCAGCGGCTGGGAGCTCGCACAGCTCCTGGGCAGCCCACAGAGGAGGACCCCAACGGCCAGAGCAGCAACACAAACTCTCCTTCCCAGGCAGTGCTCCCAGAGGTGCTCAGAGTTGGGTGCTGCAACCCTATTTCCCCCAACTTAGGCAGTAAAATTAGCTGCCTTATCTCTCTTCAACCTATTCTTTTTCCTTTTGGGGGTGACATTTGCAAGAGGTCTTCGTTAACCCACGGGTCTGCACTGTTTGTGTGGGCAGGCCGGGTTTGGCACGGCTCCTTTTGGAAATGCTCTGTCCCGCTTTGGCTTGCAGATCTTCGGGGGCCTCGTCTGGATCCTGGTTGCCTCCACGAAGGTCATGTTCCCCATGCTGCAAGGCTGGGTGATGTTCGTCTCTGTGCTCTGCTTCGTCATGTCCACCACCCTCCTGTGCCTCTACCTCTGCGGGGCACATGGTGGCAGCTGCTCCTGGGTCACCTTGGTAAGTGGGGGCAAAAGACCTCGGTGCCTGTCCCCTCCCTGGTGTCGCCGGTAGAAAACTGTCGCTTTTGCTCCTGCGGCGCTTTGATTAGTGGCCCAGGGCTTGGGGAGCAGGTTGCTTTTCATTGCCCGCTGCAGCGTGCTCCCTCCTGGGCAATGACCGTGGCAATCCTTGTTTCTTAGGACGTCTTCTGCCAGGGAACATCCGCTCTCTTCTACCTCAGCGCCGCCGTGCTGCAAGCCTACGTCACCTACGCGGTCCGTGGTTTTTCTTCCACCTTTCTGTACGCCGTCTACCAGGAGAACATTGCTGCGGTGGTGAGTGCCTGCCGCGCAGGGGGGAAAGGCAGGCGGGTGACCGCGAGGTGGCCTCGAGGGCAAATCTTTAACTACACCAACCATCCGGGGAGGCGAGAAACCTGTTCCAGTCCTACTTTGCGTGAATGTCTCCCAACGGGCAAAAGTCAATACTAATCTAATGCGTTACGAGGTGTTTGCTCAGTCCAGGGAAGCCTGCCCTGTAATAAAATGTTAACTGGCTAATGTATTTTTCCACTGTAGGTATTTGCATTCTTAGCTACCCTGATGTACGTGATCCATAAGGTGTACTCGCTGCTGCGATGGAAATCATCCTGAGTCTCCCCTCGCAAGCCTGCCGTGTGGTCACCCACAAACAGGAGCTGTTCAACGACTGCAGTTTCTGGGCTGGGGTTGGGTTTTGTTTTTCAATGTATAGGCTATAAACAAGCAGCTTGGTAACCTTGGGACCATGGCAATGAAGAAAAAGAGCCTGCCAGAGAAATCTATATCCTGGCATGATCCGTTTCCCTTCAGTCTCTTCTGGGTTGGGTTGGGTATGTTGTGTTGCTGGTAAGCGAGACCCAAACAGAAAAAAAACCCTGACTTTAAACAGAATAATATAACTGGATTCAAAGTGCCAAAATCTTCCTGAGCCCTCCCCTTATGCCTTGTTGTTCTTGCTATCAGGGGAAGCCAGAACAACCAGCGCTCAGGAGCACAAGTATGAAATCTGGCCATATAAGCCTATTTCCCTCCCCAAATCGGACATGCCAAAAGAATATTTCACGCAGTTTCCAGAAATGCCATCTCTGACTTGGGATGAGAAATGGGGCAATATATAACTTGCCTGTGAGGAAACAGGAATTCCTGCAGCCCCTGATTGGTATTGCTGAATTACGAGACGCAACCGCAACCCCAGGAATTACCACTGCCATTAATCTCCCCGTGAAATACAATCAAGACGGCGCGCCGCAGAGACTGCAAGAGAATTACATGGATAACTGGAATAATGCCTCAAATAAGCAGAGACAACTCTTGTCTTTTGTGCATGGCTGCTCTCAAACCCTCTGTCACTAATTAAAAAAAAAACAAAAAAAAAAAAAAAAAAGGTCTTTCTGTAATTTTGCACATAGGCGAGAGTCATCGCTGCTGATTTCCCTTTGCAGCACGCAGGTACAAGGCAGCACCAAAGGAGGAGGCGCAGACCTGGGCACGGAGCAAAGGGCTTTCACAGCGAGAGGCAGCCCGCGGGGCGCTGCAGCCAGGGCCAAAAGGCACCAGAGTTCATCTCAGTGATGATGTCCATCTGCACGCTTAAATTACTCCACAGTGCTAACGGGAGTGAGTTATTTTAAAAAGGGGTTAGGCGCAAGAACGGGTGTTTTCGCATCTTACCTACTATGCAGTGGTTTCATATTAGCTCTCCCAGCTTGCAGGGCAAAAATCGCTTCCATTTTGAGTCTGAAGCTCCTGGATGATAACAAGGGCTGGAGAACGGGAGGGAAATAAAGGTGGATGAGAGACACCTCTGTTGTTTCAGGTCCTGGGGGGATTTCTGAGCTGCGGTCATGGGTTTGGGCTGATGCTTTTTAACTGCAATACAGGGAAAACATTTTTTTTCCTCGTTTTTCCATTTTGAAAACCAGCCCAACCTGTTTTGCTTGCACTGGTGTGACAAGAGCAAGCCGATTGCAACAGCGGCGGAAAAGAAACCCCTCTGCAGAGCGAACCTGCAGTCACTTTCACAATGACGCTTGGTTCTGAAGCTTTAACCTGCTCCTGTTGAAACTGGTTTTCAGCATCACGTCATCATGGGGTGGGGAGAATTTTAATGCCCAGATTTGCCCTGCTGCTATTAACACCCCAGAATTTAGCATTAAAACACAAAGATGTCTTTCTTGGTTGGGGCTATTTACAAAAAAACAGGTATTTGCAGTCACACCCTGGGATGCGGTACCTGCGGCCGCCTTTTCCTGCGCCTGCAGCCAGCACTGCTGCGCCCAGCGCTGCCCTCCAGCCTGGAGCTCCTTGCTCTCCTCCCCATCTCCTTCCGCCTTGCTTCGCCCTCAGCTTCCCCCTTCCCTGCCACACACCAGTTTACACCAGTCCTCGCCAGTTCACCTGCCCGTCCCTTCCCCTCTGGCCCCAACTCAGGCACCTCCCTCTCTGCGTTAGCTCGTCCCCGCTGGAAGCCAGCACTGGAAAAAAAAAACAGCGGGGCACTACCGGCATTGGAAAAAAATAGATGCAAAAAGCACTCGGAGGTCTCTGCTACCCCTCCCGCCCAGCCCTCTCGCCCCAAATGCCCTAGGAGCGGGGCAGCTTGAGACAGGCGCTGCCTGGGAAACGGCGCACGCACCTCGATGCCTCGGAAATGAAAGATTCTGCCCAGAGGCTCCCCTGGGACCTCCAAGCACCTTCCTACCCCATGTGTCCCAGGTCTGGTGCCCACAGAGAGCCCCAAGCATGGCATTGGCCCGAGAAGCTGCTGGGAGCACATTGGAAATGTTGGATGTGATGAATACAGCGTGCTCACAGGGGCTGGGATTTTACCCCGGGAGGCGAAAGCAGGCCTGGTCTTTCTCCCACAGAGATACTTGTCTGGGACAGGTGCAAACATCTCTGGAGGGGATGATCTACTCCCATAATGGCACAGGTGGATTTTCTAGCACTTTCGGTGGCAATCTGCACCTCCACCTCCCCACGGTGACCCAGCCCGGTCGATGGGCACCCTCAGGACTGGCAGCAGCTTTGAAGGAGCAAAGTGAGGAAGAGTCTCAATCTGGTCTTTTCCTCTTCTTGCTCTGCCTACTGTCTGTTTTTTTCTATCTATCCTTCGTCCAGGAGCCCGAGACCTGGCCAAAACCACAGGAAGGGCTGTGGTTGAAATTTCGTGCAGCAAACCTGTTGAGCAACACAGGGAATGCGTTTGGCTGCTGATCGCCTGCTGTGAGAGGTGATCATGGAGTACAGGGCCCTGTCCCCTCTGTATGCTGCCCCTGAGCCTCCTGCGCGGTGTGCAGCACAAGCACCCATCTCAGAGACCCCCCTCCACAGGCAGCGTAGTTAATCCTGCGCCACGTAGCACACACCGGCATTTCTTTGTGTCTTCCCTCAGGGCAGTTATCTCAACCATGCTGTCCAAAACCCTCCGCGGAGAACGCTACAGGATCAAACTCCTCATTCCTCATTTGTTCAAAGTGATTACCCTGACCTAAGACACCAGCAGGCACAGAGAAGCATCTTCATTTTTATGGCTATTCCCCCAAATCAGTCACTTTTTAGCCGAGGTCACTTGCACCTTTGACAAACTGCGTGCCTGGGACTGTTTGGTCGAGGAGTACAATCAGAAATACTAGCAGCAAAGCACGCAGTAGTTGTGCAGAGATGACTGATGGGTGGCTCTGAGCACCCAGTGGTGCAGGGCTGGATCAGCAGAGCTGCTGGACACCTCCAAGACGGACAGCACTCCACCACACAACAGGTTTTATCGCAAACGGGAACTTGCTAGGCACAGGGCAATGCCTTCACTGATTGAAACCACCGAGCTTGGCACTAACCCAAACTACTGCACATCACTGCGCTGCCTAGGACAGGGAAATTACTATTTAATTGAAATGGAGCGTGGTGAAGTACCTCCCTGGGGCGTGCTGGAGGTGTGCACTGGATAATGACATGCTGAGGTTTGCCCTTGCTGCGGTCCCTTTTTGTCCTCTTTGCCGCTGCTGAGCTGCGATTGCAAACCTGATAGGAAGGATAGAGAGACTTGAGGGGAGGAAGGTGTAACACCATGGCAGCAGAAATCTGGGAGGTGGGCAAGGACCTTGGGGCATTTGCTAGGTGCACTCACACACGTTGGCCTTCAACGTCCCGAAAGCAGCTTGTTGTCCACCCGGTGCCAGCAGTCCTTGACTGCAGAGCTGCTCCCAGCCTGACCCGACACATGGGGCTACTCCATCGCAAGCTCTGCATCTATCCCCGCAGGCACGATCAGCTCTCAGCTGGGAGCATAACCAGAGTTTCCACCTCTGCTCTTCTCCTCCAGCTTCCTCAGCAGCAAGATGAAGCCTGCTGACATCTGCCCAAGAGAGTGGGCAACTACATGTTAATTAAAAACAAACCAGCCACCTGAAGGCAGGTAAAACCTCAGCTCCTGGAACGCAAACAAGCAGGGTTACAGGCCTATCATTCATTAACTACATCCAAATTGTTTTCGTGGTTGCTCTTGCTCAATTAAAGAATACCTTCTTAATTGTAATTTTACCTGCTCCCCAAATGCAGGTGTATTGGGTACCCCAATTACCTTGTATTGAAAGGTGAATGACATGAAACGCCTCTGGGGATGCAATGAAATAGAGGCAAGCACTTCCATCTTCTTCTGAACTAAAGGTCTGAATGCAGAGAGACTGAAGAGAAAATTATGGCCTGCTCCATGGAAAATGCGGGAGTTTTTGATGGCGCTCATTTTACAGTCAGCTGTATCAGAGAGGAATGATGTATGCTGGGTGTAACAACTGTACAAGCATCTCCAAGCTTGAATAGACGTTATACTAACATGTACAAGCTTGGGAAAACAGGAAACCCACAAGATACGACTTTTTATGACGGCATAAAAGCTCCATGTGGGTCTGTGGTAGAGCGTGATTCCTGGTCTTCTTGATCTGTCTCCCTTAGTCCTTAGTCCCCACCCAACCGTGGTCCATTTGCCTCCTCGGATCTTCACACTGCGACCACAGCCCCCTCCTGCTCCATAGTTTCCCTTGGACCAACAGAATTGAGCATTAAAACGCCGTTTGCTTTGAGGACAGGGATGGAAATCCCTTGCTGCTGATTCATGCCGGTGCTCCAACATGAATTATTGCCCTGTGGGTCTGAGAGAAGAGCCCCAAACCTCCTCCAGATCCCAGAGGGAGGGCAGAGGAGTCCCAGAGGCCCCCCCAGAAGCAGATGCAAGCGCAGCTAGTGTGCAAGCCTTGCAGAAGGATGGAAATTTGAAGAACGTAATGCTGCGCCCACAACCTCTGCAAAGGCAAATGACATTCCACCTACCACTGCTTTCTTACCTTGCAGCTCCTAATTTCTACCAGCCGAACAAGGTGAAGCTGCAAGGCTTGCGTGGGTTCTCTTGGAGGCATCAGCTAGAAATCACCACCGGCCACTTCCCAGTGCTTTGGCTGATGGAGAAAAGATGCACTGTGAAGAAGGAAGTGTTGTTTTACTAGTGCAGTGAGAGCAGAAAGTATTGAGCACCCAGGAAGGCTTCCGGGAGATTGATGTTTGCAGACCTCTGCTCACTACAGGGAAGCCAGGACTCTCGCTGTGCTGAGTGATGGCCTACACATCTCGGGAGCTGGGAAAACGCAGTGCGAGCCCCCAGTTTGGATTACATGAGGAACAGCACTCAGGTCTGGATGAGCTGGCTTTCACAACTTGCTCTGCCCTGGGTGCTGCTAGCAAAG